GAGAGAGGGTTGGAGGATTGGGAGAAAGAGATGAAGGGTTAAAGAAATACAAATTAGTAGTTGATAGTTGGTCATGGGGATGGGGATCACAGCAAAGGGAATACAGTTAGCATTAATATACTGGCTAGGTGGAAAACCGGCGGAGAGAAGGAGCAATTAGGGGGATCGTTTTATAAACTATATAAATGTCTAACCAATGGATTATATACTTGAACCTAATTAAAATTTTTAAAAATGTAAAAAAAAAAAAAAAAATCAAGAACCTATTCCCTCCAGACATTTTGTCCTTCAACAGTGGAGATGAAGACTCTTGTCTGTAGACTGCAGAGTTCTTGTTTAGGTTCTCTCTGTGTGTGCAAAACATCCCTGGTCAGCTCATAGAGTTATGGAACCTTAGGGCAGCCTAAGAGTTTCAAACTCAAGAAGCTAAATTTTGTCACTTTACAGATGAGGAAAACAAGGTCTAAAAAAGGCATAACTAGTAGTAAGTACATTTATCTAAGATTTTAGTAGAAATGGCTCTGAATACACAGGCTAGATCAGTATGCCCTGCCAGCCAGGAAGCCAGAAATGTGTTACTTATATTAATTATCTGTTTGTCAGGACTATTTCTAAAATGAAAAGAGCATAATAGCTGCAGAGTTCCCAATTCACAATTTAATTGATTTTGTAATAATAGTAGTAGTAGCAGTAGTAGTAGTAGTAGCAGTAGTAGTAGTAATACATCTATGGATAAATATTTATTCTTTCAGAAACCAGGAAGTATCATCCTCAGATCAACAATACTTTTTCTATGTAAAACAGCAAAGGCTATGTTAACTACTCTTGGATGCTTCAGGATATTAATAGTTGTAAATACACATTTTGAGGAAAGTACAAGGATTATGAATCAGCGTAATGCCATTTTGTGTAAAATGGCACTTTTTAAAAAAAACCACAATAATAAATGTTTCTATAAGTCAGCTCACATGGAAGACAGGGTAGTTGGTTCTGGATAGCGGGAGTTGCCTAGCATCATCCATTAGCTAAAAACCGACAACCACCAGAGGTAATTTATAGTCATAAGGGATAATTATTTGTGAAAAAGTCCACAGGGTTCAGACAGGAGTGTCAAGAGAATTTAGATCAGTTTTTGGAAAGAAGAGTTTATTTCCACCATCTCAATTTTACTTTCATGAAGTTAAATTTTGAGTCCCTGTATGTACTAGACATGGTGTTCTGGAATTGGAGCTAACCCCTTCTTATTACTGATACATTCCATTTTAGTAGTCACGCAAAGCCAGAATAAATATTCTATAGTTTATAATGGCATTACTTGACATTTCATTTATGAACTTAAGTGTTAGGGGCAGTCTAAGACCAAGACTTATTCTACTAAAACTTTATGGGGAGAACTGGGGTCACTAAGATTCAGGGA